GATAATTCGCAACATACGAACTATAAATTCTAAAAATAAAACCTATTCTTCTTATAAAATATGGAAGTATGAATGCTTTTTAATATTCATTAGTTGGCAAAACTAGGTTATTTATTTCCGAAGCCGTGAAAATCAATATCGCGTTATGCCTTAGCCTGCCAATGTTACTAGTAAAAGTAATAAATCCATACATTAATAGTTACACAATGGATGGAGTTGCCAGAAAATTGCTAGTATTTACATGGTTGCTTTTTAATTTACAGAAAAAAGCAAAGCTTTACTTTTTACCGATACTGGCCATATTAAGAAAAAAAATGAAATATAAAACTATTTATTGGTCTTATTTTTTAATTTTATTGTTTTAACTGGCAGCTTAAAAATGCTCAAACATTTTTTTTTCTTTTTATCCATATAGAAAGATAGGAACAATATAGTGATATCCCTAAATGATATCAATAATTAAATTATAACCAAAGCAATATAGATTTCCGCTTCCGTAAGACGTATCGTAAATAACCCTGAATACTGATCTATTAGTTAAAATTAAAATTAACAACGGAAGTAACCGGTAGTAAACGAAACAAGTCATCTCCTTCTTTAACTGGAAACTTCTAATTAAAATGATTATGATGCCGGAATATGCTAATTCTACGCCCACAAACTACGAAATTATATTACATATTACAATAGATTTAAATATATACATAACGTTATTAGTATTTTAGTCAAGGTCAACATAATTTCAACTGTTCTTTAATATTTAAGAATGATAATCTAAGCAAATGGCTAAGCTGGTCATATTTAAATTCCCTTCCCTATAATCTTACTAATATTATAAATACGAATGTTGGATGTATGGATGGACGGATGGATATTTGTTATATAATGTCCCCGGAATCTCTCAATGGATCTCGATAAAATTTGGCAAACACATAGTCTGGAAAAACAGATAGGCTACCAATTTTTTTTAATACCGCGCGGACGGAGTCGCGGCTAGTATGAATAAACTCTATTAACATTTTGGCGTTGGCCCAAATTTGAGTAACACAAAATTTAATATGCAGCATTTATCTATTTTCCCCACATAGCGACACTCATGAACTATATTCGTTATCTGTGAAACATTAAAAGCACGCGTCATCAACCGCCATATTGATTTTTTTGTTACCTTTACATATACACATGTTTAATCGACACTAAAGGTCGCAAATTCTAGAACATTTCGACAAAAACACATTTTCTCACATCTGTATACAAGTTAGTATAAGTAAGTTATATACAATTTGACTTCACTCTGTTACTAAATCTGAAAATTACAAAATGTATAGGAAATGTATTTCTTTAAAAGCCTAGCCGTTCATTTAAAATGGGATAGATACCTTTTATATTTTTACGAGCTACAAGATACAATTTAATTTCCTGGCTAGCACCTCTCAAGGAGCACAAATAACGACATTAATATTTCCTTCCGCGGATAAACTTATTTGCCAAATATTTAACCTCGAAACAAACTAAAGTTACGCAAAATGTTATGCGTTAAATGTTAACGCAACATTTTATATTTACTTCCTATTTCCTAAAAGATAAACATCGTTCCAAATATTTAAAAAGAAAATTAGCATTACTAATTTACTTAAAAATGGGATTTAGTACATTTAATACTATAATATGCATTAAGGCTAACATGGTCTAGACTTTCATAAGTACTTAAAATCAGAGAGGCGAAAACATACAAGTGTTCTTATTTTTGTTCAACTGAAGCGTACTTGGTTAGTTTTAATAACCACAGCGAAGACAAACAAAAATAAATAAATGCTTAATAAAAAATAGCATTTGAAAATATCGTGGTACAAAAATAACGTATTCTAAATGTAAGAGAAAAACGGTTAATCGTTGGTTTCTGATGCCAAAATCCTTGTTTAAAACATATCGTTATCCCTCACATTATTATCTGTGAGAAAACAAATACAACAATATTTTTATAGAAGGTTTTAGCTTCAGAAACCAATGATTAAACGCTTAAATCCAATAGCAAAGCAAGTGAAAATATCATAGATGTTAAAAACCCATTTAAAGTTAACCGTTCAAATACTGCAAACTGCAACTGTAAGATTTCAACATAGTTGCACGCGATTGATTACTTTGCGACATTTTAATCGATTGTTGTTCTCATTCGAGTCTTGGTTAATTATTATTATTTAAGCTATAAAACTAAAAAAAAAACAAAATGAAAACAAACAAGGACTTATATTAACTTTTAGTTTTATCCAAGTTCAAAATTTTTAGCCAAGGTCATATTGAGGTGACCTTAATGGTCGAAGCGGTCGAACCCTTGTCAGCTTACGAATCATTAAGGGACATAAAGCCGAGCTTGATTGGAAAATATCGAAAGAATATTCAATCAAAATTATTTAAAGAAAAAAAAACAGAATTTTTCGTCGCGAAATCAAATATACAACTGATCTTTATTTATTCAAGGCATTACTAAATTCTTTTAAGTTAGAACTTCACTATTTCATAGCAATATCGTAAACCTACTTTTTCACGTGTTTAAAGTCGTTATTATCTATTTAATGTTATCTAATCTGAAAACGGTAAAGGATAACGTAGTTTCTTTGTCTTTAAAAATAAAAATAAGGCTATTTCGTGAACTTTTATCTTATAATAAAGATTTTATTAGGTCAGATTTATACTACGCGTCATATAGATAAAAGACTGAGGTTAGGAGACGAATTTACAACACTATCTGGACACTTTTTAGCGCTGAAATGGGCAAAATTCACAACAATAAGCAATTGAACATAAAAGCCTGATTTATTTTGAGTATTAATATACAAAACAGTATATCTAACATTATTAAACGTACTTATTTTTATAGATATTTTCGCATCGTCCTACGTCAGAGGGCAGCTGGTGGCAAGGTCGTACCAAATCGATCGTTACTTGGTACCACCGCAGGCTTACAGCGCGTTTGTAATTGCGCCATTGTATTACATGCAAACCAGAAACCAGCTATTGCACGGTAAACGATTAACAAATGACCTGGTTCAGATTAAATTTTTAAGTGGGTACACTGAAATATAAAACCAATAGAAAGTAAGTTCAATTTGCTATAGATTTTTGAACGATAAAAGAGGTTATGGTACAAAGAATAACATTTTTAATTAAAAGATTAAATTGTAGAGTACATTAGGGAAAGAATTCACATAATATGATCAAAATATAGTTAAAAAGGCATTGTAACTCCTTAAATGCTACCGGGGATATTCAAAAATAAATAAACTCATTGATAAATTCATATTCTTTATTACAATATCATATTTTTTATCTTTACAAAAGAAAACAATCAACAAATATTAAGCAAACAGTCAAAACAGATTACAAACATTTTTATAATGACAATCAAAAGTTTTTGTCTTTACCAAAATTTTAATTTCAATTCATTTTAATGACATATCTATGGTATAACCATAAACAAATCCCCATTTAACATTTAAAGCCATTAAAATCTTGGAATCAATTTAAAGACAAAAAGTGTAGACAATTAATTGAAGATTGCAATACATCTGTGAAAAATATGGTCTTTTGTTGCCAGTTCAATCTAAAACACAAACATATTTCTTAATTTTGATATGCAAATATTTTAAGTAAAGTAAAATATTTAATGCTAAGGAAAAACAAATCAACTTATAAAAATCAATTTCTCTATACTAAATTAACTGCACAAAAGAAAAATCTATTTTAATCCTAATATTTTTAATCCGATGAAAATAGTTATTAACTTTTTTTTTATTTATATCAATACAGTGTAACTCTGTGTTCAATTTATAAATAAGAACCATCACATTTTTATTCTTTTTTTCTCATAAAATATTCATTCCTTATGAACACTTACAATTTAGAATATACTTTACTTTTAATACTAACACAGACCATTCAACAATGCCATTGAATCTTTTTTGTCACACTAAATTAGAATGTTTGCATCAAAATGTAAATAAATAAATGTTTCAACACAATAACACATTACTCCATTACTGTGGTGGAATGTATAAAAAAAACTTATATTATTGTATAAAAAATTGCTTATTGTTTATTAAATTACATTAAAATTACTTAGTATAATTTATATTTGTTAATAGAGTGCAAAATCATTCAAAGGTCGAGAAATTTCTAAATTTATAAATGACAGGAGGTTGGAGCTGGATCTGATTGATTGGAAGGCAATCTCTCAGCGAAAACCGACTTTGCACCATCAAAATATAAATGAAATTATATTAAAAAAATCAAACTCATGTTAAAATGACACAATAGACAATGCAGATGACATAATAGATGCATGGATTGTCTTCACAAATTAGTGTAGACATGACATCATATGAAGTTATAACAATTATTCTACAGACATGTTACAATTGAACTTCTGAATGCTACTTTGCATTATTGCATGAAATATTTTGATTAATTTTGTAATTCAAATCAAAGATTAAACACAAAATGTCCACATTTTAAGTTCAATTATATAATCTATATGATAGTTTGAAATGACATTTAAGATTTATACAATTTAAAAATATTTTACCAACATAAGAAAAAAATTGAAAGAGTCCAAAGTTTAAGTGAAGGTCACTAGAAAAAACAATTAAGTACTATTTGTTACTAAAAATCTTTATAAAATAAGAGAGGAACAACATTTGGATAGTAATCTGAATTAGTGTGCAAATCTATGAGAACTTAGAATTCAACTAAATAATCTAATTTTCTAAAACAAATAAATAAAAGTTGGTTGTTTTACTTAGTTTCATACAACCCGAAATTTGCCCATGGTCTTTGATTCATTTCAAAACTTCAAATCAACAGTTTCATTGTGTTATGTGTGCATTTCTTTTTGCAAGCTGCCCTGATAGTAAATCAAGAAGTTTTAACATTGAAAAAGTATAAAAGTAATAGAGAATTGTGAAAAAAGGACAATGAAACTATTGATTATCTGTATTCTACTTAAAAATTATCTATGGTCTACTATCACAATTGGTGAGGTATGGGCTAGAATGCAATAGATGATGGGGGCATTGAACATTCTCCAACTGTCACACGGTATGAGGCTAATTCACTGATGCCATGGTAATGTACAAAAGCTGCCACAATAACAAGCACATGGAAAATTTGATGGGATTGGAACCAAATGTCACATTTACCTGGGAACCAGCGTTCAGGCACTCTCAATGCGTAAAACATAGCTCCCAGAATATAAAGTAAACCCATAAGGACTAGCCAGCCTAAAGATGCCTTACTGACCTGACTAAACCAACCTTCTGTTATTCCATAGTGAATCGCTGGCACAATCCCTGAAAGTCCAAAGCCCATAAATACTCCTGCTCTTAGAGGTCTCAAACGGGGTTCAGAGAATCTATCCCATAATGAAACTATAATAGACAATACTCCTAACACAACCACAACTGATAAGTAAATGATTTTCGGTCTGTAATGACAATAGAAACTATAGTACAGCCATGGAACAAATGAGCCCATAATCAGCAGTGCTATACCGCAGTAGTCCAGCTTGGAGAACAACTTGCCTACCATTTCTGAGTGACAGTACAAAGTGTGATATGCAAAAGAAAAACCCAAACACACTATAGCACCAATAAAGAACACACCAAAGATCATTTTCTCTTGCATCTGTATCTCTATGGACGGGCGTGTAAGGAAATATATTGCAACGCCAATGAAAGCTACACAACCGAGCAGGTGGGTCCAAATATTGCCGGTTTCAGTGTGGATGCGGAATATAGACGCGAAACACGCGCTAAATGAGGGTAGCGGCGGCCGATGTCCTTTGTGCAAGTAGTCGTTGTCCTGAAGCCAGCGCGGAAGATGACGGAAGTGGCACACGTTCCACGAGGCCTCCCACACCTTGCGAACAAATTCCTCAGCTTGCTCGGCAGCATTGTGCGCTAGGGCTCCGAGATCTATTTCGTCCGAGAGTACGCCAGCTTTCAAAACTTCAGCCATTTCCGCGTCCAGTAAATGTTGATCTTCGGGCGTAGACGGTAACGGACATCCTTCCTCCTCCTCGGCGAGCACCTCGTCGAGCTCGTCCATCTGAGAAGCGAGACTCTCGGCCTCGGGGTCCCATCCTTGCCGTCGTCGTAAGCCATCCGACGAAGCGCTGTGGGACCCCGTGTCAGAGTCCACTTCCCACATCTTTGCGTCGTACGCAATCGGTTACGCGAAGAGCTTTCGCATCCGACACGACCTTCGTAAGCGAAGGAACAGTTATTCGTTTCGAGTGAAATCCAGTTACGTCACGTAAAACAAACACACAATGTCTTTTGTGTTTTATACAAACGAATTATAAAAAATGTAACAGTAGAAATTCACTTATACCAAGATAAATTTTATAGCAAAAAAATCGTAGCGCTACGGTAGAACAACAATCAATTTAGACCAGCTGCAAAGAACTGTCGAAGAGTCGACCAAAAGCAAAAGCAATCACCATGATCGTTCCTTCCTATTCTTACATATATCTATCTCTCTCAAGCAAACGCATTTGGAATGGAGTATTTTTGCAATCACAATCCTTTGTCGTTTTCGTTTGTCGTGTCACCATATCATAGTGACGTTCGTTGTTAACGCTCATTCGCGTTAAGCAGCAAAAATTACTTTGGCCGTAATCAATAAATATAAAAAAATGTAACGTTTATACGGTTTTCTATACGTTTAAGACTACTAAATTTGTAATTGATATTAAAATATTACTTTGAGTACTTTTTAAAGAGCTATTTTATGGAACACTCCAAATTTTAATGTTAAATGTTGAAAATTGATTAAAATCAAATCATAATGAAATTTAAAGATTCTCATTCTTCAACGAATTTAATTAAGAAGATTTTCATTTTTCCGTTTAAATATAGAAAAGTAACTAAAACATCACTAATTATAAACACTGGCAACAAATATGTGACAAGAGCGAAATTCGTTCGTGATTGGCTGGCTGATTGTGCGTTTATGTTACGTCAATAAGTTTTTTGACATAAAACACGAATCTTTATAACCTAGAACTTACGTATTTAATTATAAGAGATGTTAAAAATTTATTTACTAAAATATAAGTTCTTACTTACTTCTTAAACATGTCGCTGGAGAACAGAAACACAATGTATAACCAAGGAAAAATTCAACAAATTCACCGACAATTTAAACACCGACGACAAAACTTCACAATACTTGTCAAAATGTAACTCGATTGAGCTTCTACCAATCAACGCTAATAAAGCTTTACATTGATTGGTTGAAATGTCGCATTGAATCTTTAAAACCCACCAATCACCAAGCAGTATTATGGCAACCATCGAAATTTATGTGACTAGATCATAGATGCTGTGTTTTGTGTACACTTTTTTAAGATAAATAAAAAGCATTTCAAATATTACAGAAACGTTTTATTTTTAATGTCGAAAGTTTAGTTTTGGAAACTAGGTATATTGACCAATTTATTTTTTAAATTTCCACAACCACCTAACCTAACCTGGCAACAAATTACGATTGATCCATATAAGTCAATGTCAATTTGAAAATCAACAAAATTGATTCGACTGCTATTGGCACATGGTGTTATATTTAATTTTTTTAACTAATTAATTACAGATATTAATCATTATAAGAAAGACGTTAAAACATGTCTAATTTACTAGAAGTTCTGGTGACTAGTGACTCCAACAATACTATGTGGACATGCTGTGTTTGGGATCCTCATAATGGCACAAGTCTGATGACTTATAAAGGTGGTGGAACGGCTGAATTGAAGACACTTTCATTTATCGGCAATGATTACCTTGTTGCTGTTGAGAAAGCTAAACCCATTCTCCACGTTTGGCCTTTGAATTCGCATCAAACTGTGCAAGGCATGCGTTTCGTTTTGCCGGGTAAAGCTAATGCTTTTTCTATAACGAAAGATGGATCATTCTGTGCTGCGGGAATCGATGAGAAGATTTATCTTTGGCAGATGGCGTCTGGTAACTTATTAACAATCTTAAATCGACATTACCAGAAGGTGAATTTGATAAAGTTTACAAGTTGCGGGCGGTATTTTGTTTCCGCCGCTGAAGATGGAATGGTTATGGTGTGGTCGTTGGCTGCAATCGCCACACATCCTGAAGTTGAGCTAGTTAACCAAGCTCGTGCTGGTCAACATGACCCAGTTTATATAATCTCAGATCATTCTTTGCCTGTTACAGATTTATGTATTAGTAAAATGGGCATATTAGGCCGACTATACACAGTTTCTAGTGATAGAACTTGCAAAATATATGACCTAACTACAGGAGAATTATTATTGAACTTAGTTTTTGATATTCCATTATCTAGTATTGAACTAGATGTGTTAGAGCTAAATGTGTTTGTAGGGACTATGAAAGGTGATATTTATCAATTTAGTCTTACAAATCCAGTTAGAAATAAAGAATTGCTGATGTCTGAAGAAAATAGTCATATTTTTACATGTCATACAGATGCTATAACAAGTTTATCTGTTTCTCTTGATGGTGAAACATTAATGTCAGCATCAAATGACAAACAACTAGTTTTATGGCATATAAGAAGTAGACAGCCTATAAGAACAATAATGCATAAAGGGCAAATAACAAATGCTTTCTTTACCCTAAACCGCCCAGCTATATATACACAAGATTTTAAGCCTAAAGTTATATTACATAGTTTAGAACGGACATTAGAAAGAGACAATGAGGAAATTACAGAATTGGAAATTTTGATTGACAAAAAAATCAATTTCTGGCCTGAAAATAAAGATATAAAGTTGGAAATTGAAAAACCTTCAAAGGAGACAGGAATTGAACATAACAAACAAGAGAAGTCACTTAAAAGTGAATTAAACAAGCTTAAGTGGATTAATGAGAGTCTGTATGCTTATGCCGTTAACAATGCATTGAATACTACAGTTAAAACTAATGTTCAGAAACCTAAAGCTAACACAAAAAACAAGCGGAAGACATTTAGCTCTTAAATTTTAATTATCATTAACGAAATGTTTTATTTGTTGCTTCAAATTATAAATATGCAGGATTTATGTGCAGTGGTCCTTTTATATTTTCAACAGCAGTACTGAACTCAATATAATGATGGATTGATTTATTTTGTTTTATTTTCCTAAGCTAAATAATATTCTAATAACAAAATGTATTGTTTGGTGATAAAGTTGAATAAAAAATGAATATCTTTAATGCCTATTAGATTTTAAATATCTCAACTTTAGTTTATATAGGTGTTCATGTTAGTGAACCGAGTTTGGACATAAAGTTGCCACTTCGGTTTATGGCTAGGATTGCTATTGACTTCGATTTATTCATATCAATATACACATTTAAATGTCTACCTATCCGGACTATCGTTTTGTAAATAAGGGTACGGGTTCCAATAGATTACGACAGAAATTGCTAATTTAATGTTAATATTATAATTAACAATACAATGGTACGAATAATCCAAGAGACACTCGTGTTCATACATATATTGAATGTACAGTGTCTAGTATCATAGTCTAATTTTCAATTTATTTAGTCAGGCTTTAAAATATCACTTGAAAAGATTTTTCGATTATTTTTAAAATTTTTGTATCTGTGACTGGTAGTTGCAGTTTGCTTTTATATTCTATGTCCAACAAGAAGCTACAAAGAGTATATAAAATAAGAGACGGGACTCTTGACTAATTAGATACACAAACGGAGAATAAAAATTGTCATTTTCAATGAAAAAATCAATCTGTCAGTTTCCTTTTTGACGTTCAAAGTATTATTCGAGGGAAAACAATTTAGGAAAAATAAAACCATTTCGTTAATTGCAACTTTAATTTAATCTTCTGACTAAAGCGAACATATTTTAAGAACGCAACATAATGCTCACTGCTTTCGTAATAATAATAATAATAATAAATCTTTAATTCAGACACATGGTCCATACAAAACAAAAATACAAATTAAACACTAGCACAAAAATAAAATAAAACAAAATTCTTTAGGGCACATGTAGACATGTCCACATGGCCAGCACTGGGCAGTCCAATCCCACTCTATCAACAATGAGTTGCAGGTAGCTGTTGGTGCTGTCCCGCACCCCCACATCAGGGATGCTGCTCTCTTCCTGATCAATGCGGCGAAGCCGTCAACACCAGCATCAGCAAACATCCCAAACGCGCTGCAGAAGCGCGGCAGCCCCAACAGAGCCCTGAACCCATTGTTGTACTGAACCCGCAAGGCATTGTAAGCCCTTTGTGAACGCTTGAACCATAGGCTGCACGTATAAAGGGACTGACAGTAGGCTTTAAAAAGTGTAATTTTCACGGGTATGGTACATTGTGCGAACCTACGAGCCAACATGTTCGCTCTGACTGACAATGCCCTGCGTTCTCTTTCTAAATCTAAATCATCATTGAGTGTATCCGTGACCCAGTGCTCCAAGTACTTCACTCTCTCCACTCTCTTGAGAGGATGGTTGTTCAATTTGACTGGTGGTATGTCATATGTCTTCGAGCCGGCTTTGAAGAGCATCAATTCACTCTTAGTAGAATTGTACTTGAGACCCTGGGCCTCGGCGTAGCACTCGCAGATGGAGATCAACTTACGAAGACCGCTCAACGATGGGCTCAGCAGTACCATATCATCGGCGTAACTTATATTTATCATGGTGCCATCTATGGAACAGCCTATACCAGTACCGCTGAGCTCACGGATCAGTCCATCCATTTAAAGGTTAAAAAGTCTGGGTGATGTCAGCCCCCCTTTGCCTCACCCCCCAGCTCAATCTATACTCATCCGATACCGCCCCATCCCACTTAACATAATTGGTTTGATTCGAATACCTGCACTTTAATAGAGATATGAGCTCGCAAGGAAGGTCTGTGTCGTCAGACAGTTTCTGCCACAATTTATTATATTGGACCATATCAAATGCCTTTGATAGGTCTAGGAAACAGGCATATACGTGAGTATTTCTATCAGTGTAGTACTGGACAGTATTCTTGAGTGTTAAAATTGCTGTTTCAGTGGACAACCCAGGTTGGAAACCAAACTGAGCGTCGTGTAGCCTAATATGTTTCGATAGTTGTTCATCAAGCACCCTGTCCAGCACCTTCGCTATGACTGTAGCGAGTGATATAGGTCGATAGTTACTCATTTTAGAGATATCACACGGTTTGTTTTTACTGATAGGGACCACCACAGTACTCATCAACCCCGCAGGCAGGTACTCATGACCAATACAGAAGGTGAACAGCATGGAAAGCACCCTGGGCATGTGAACCCCAGCATAATGCAAATTTTCTATACTAAGAGAATCATGCCCAGGTGACTTATCTTATCCCGCTTCATGTCCCTCAACACCCGTGCTACCTCTTTTGACAGAACCAACCTAACACTTTCCCCCTCGCTTTTGCTGCGGATCATATCAGAACTCGCAGGCACTGATACACCCTACACTTGAAAATAATTCTTAAATGCGTTAGCAATCTGAACAGGATCATGATTACCCTCTACACTCACAGGGATGGTCGGCTTTGGATTCAATTTGTTAATTTCTTTCCAGAAATCACCAAAAAATTTATCCCGATGTTGTGCCGCTATGATGTCCATTTTAATTTGCGATTCATTATTTTGACACCACTTAAGTTTTTTCTTAAAAATAATCCGCGAGTGACGCATTCTCCCATAAACTTAACCCGTGGTAGGTTTCCCATATATTACAATACCATTATTGTTTAGTTCACCAACAAAATACCCCAACTTTGATAAATGCTTATTTGTTCCAGTTTGTTTATTTGATAGGTCATATTTTCTGATAGAACTGGAGTAGTAGTGTCACTCTCGTCG